CATCTTCCGTAATGGCCGGGGGCCCGATGATGTGGAGGCGTAACGATCGAGTTACCACGTCCTTCGTGATCCACAGCGTGATCCACCGGGCGGAAGCCATATTCTACAAGAGGTTTCAAGACCGGACGTGGTAGAGAACCGCCCTGTGAGCATCATCCAATTGCAGCTCTTGTGCCTCCTCGAGGCGATTGGTAATAATACCACTTCCCTCGGAAACCGCGATGTCGGGGAACGGACATGGTGTCCGCAAGGATTGAGCTGGGCACGTCGCGCTGTTGGCACACTTTATCCTCCTCGTCATCCCATGCTGGAATAGAAGTGTCCGACTCGAAGTCAACTTCCTCCAACTTATCTCGATTTCTTGCGCCCAGTTGCCGAGGGCTTGGGATGTGCTTCCTGTGAATACGTGGTCGTACTGTCCGGAGATGCTCACTGTGCAGAAATGGACTGGGTGTTTGCGTGTCGTAGACACAGTGCGCATAGAGCGGAGAATGTTTAAAGCTGTACTTAAAAATGTGAAGGTGTCTCAGACACGCGAGCTTAGTATGAGGCGACCATTAAATGCGAATTGAGGATATTCATAATTTTTAGGGGGGGGGGTAACGGGGGTTACACGTACCCTTGTAAGAAAGGACGGGTCGCACAATTACACAGTCAGTGTAATAATACAGTGGTGTGGCTACCCCGCAACAAGAAGACACTACGTTGCAGGATTGCCAATAGTAATGCATATTACTATATTAATCAGGAAAATTTAGGGTTCTAAATACTGGCGGCTCTGCCGCATCTAAAACAATTAAATAAAGTTTCGTTTTGAACAGAAGTGTTCGTTTGCCTTGATAAGGCTTTAGTAATTAGAAGTAGTGGATTGCCCTTGTACTGGTTAAAGAGGAATGGCAGCCCCGCTGCATCGCCGGATAAGGGCGATAAGTTTGATCAGGCCTAGATTCTCTCTTCGAAGAGCATATCGGCATCTTTACCAATGAATTCTTTGAGTACTTCAGGCGCAGAGCCGCCTTTTGGAGGATGCTCCTTGAGCCATTTGATTTGCTCTACAGGAAGGGACCTCTGTGTAGGTACGCTCAGAGGAGTAGGCACGTTTAAGTGCGGAGAGTGGATTGAATTTCTGGGTACAGTGGTTGCTTGTGGTGCGTTCGCTTTGCCCAGTAGTTCGTTCACTTTGTGCAGTGTATGAAAAAGGCGAATGAGCTATTCTCAGATGTGGGCTGAACGGTGGATGTTCTGTAATTTTTGGAATTAACCCTTGCACATTTCGTGCAATTGTAATAGTTATAATATAGAACAGTTTACCAAATTGACATTACACATCGTTTGAATATAGGTGCCTGAACTCCGAAAAAGAGGTTCGATAGACACTTGGCATGCAGTAGAGAAGGGCAACTGAAAGATTTGAACTCTTGTAACAGCGGTAGTTTTGTTTCGCTCCCGGTGGCAATAACGATTTATCTTACATCCGTGACATGATATGTAAAACTCAGACTTCCTTGAATAAGAAAACCGAGTATCACATACTAGTTTCAAAACATATGCATGAGACAGAAAAACATGAGTAATCATGATACTACAATTACATCTGTACTGGGTCATCAAGAGCCGAGTCGACATCTTCTTGGGGCGGTACCCGATTGCTTTTTTTAGGTTGATCATCATCCCCGATCAATCCTAATCCACTGTCAGCATAGATCTTTCCAGCGTATGGAGTTTCGGTCCCAGACTTAGTAGATTTAGAAGCTTTGGTTGCTGTATCGTCGCTTTTTTCAGCCAGATCATCGTCCAGTCCACTGGATAAAACAGCATCGTCGTCATCATCAGCTGGGCCACTAGTCTTCGTTGAAGCCCCAGCAGACTTCGTGGCGAAGTCTGCATAGCCACCCTTATCAGCCAACGCATCATCGCTGTAGGCGTCCTTGGGGAGCATGACGTCATCAGCTTCGGTGGGCTTTCCCACGTTAACATCATCGTCATCGTTAACATCGTCGTCGTTATCATCGTCATCGTTAGCATCTCCGATCGAGCCAATAGAGTTAGAAGTGTCGAAAGAAACGCCTGCATCCGATAGTACCTTGTCAACCATGTCGCCGAGTTTACTGGTTATAGCATCATCCAAGACTACTTCATCTTCACTTCCATCGAGCCATGTCAACTCATCCCCCTTGTAAGGGCCTTTTTCTAGTGTAAGATCGTTATCATCGCTTGCAGGACCGACAGATTTTGATTGGCCACCAGTCTTAGTTGGGACTCCTGCAGATTTCGAGTCGAAGTCAACGTAGCCACCCTTTCCCATCGAAACGTCTGCGTTACCATCGCCTTCAAGCCATTCAGTGTCACCTTTAGATGCTTTTGTGGCCAAATCATCGTTGACGACAGCATCGTCGTCATTGAATAAATTCTTGGAAGAGTTTAATTCGTCATCAGTTTTTTCCGACTTAGAATCATAGTCAGCAAAACCCCCCTTACCCGCAAGTTTGTCTAAGCTTCCGTCATCATTTAACCAGTTCAAGTCTCCCTTCGATGCGCCTTTTGGCAAATTCCAATCGTCCGCCAAACCGACTGATTTGATAATGTCTTCCGTGTCGTCAAGAGAACCAGTGTTGAGACCCCCTTCCATCTGAGCAATGGCTGCAAAGAGTTTGTCAGCTGGTACCTGGTTACTACCACTTCCAATCAAAGACATGATGTTGATCTCAAGGTCACTTCCATCGAGATTGCCAACGTCCATGTGGAAAAGTTCGCCGAGATCGACCGATAAGTCATCGCCGCCCCCTTTTTCATTCAATGAGGCATACTTTGATGATTTGTCATAGTCGCCAGAATCAATTGTTTCGAGAGACCCTGAATCGGGCTGGCGCAAATACTGGGGATTTCCCCCATTTGTGACTGTGACAGCGGTAGCGACAAGAATTAAGCTAGTTGAGAGCTTCATCGTTTCTTTTGATCAGGAGGAAAATTTACGAAATGAAGAATTAAAATATTGGTCAACTCAATCCGAAATTACCTGGATAGCCTATTACTATGTATGTGCGATCAGTGACAGTGGCGCAATCCCCCGACAGATCTGGATTTCCATACCACTTTTCAGATTATGAAACAGTACTTTTTACGTAGATTAAATCTAGAATGCAATTTGTAACACTTGAACAATTTGCGCACACATTACACCACCGTCACTATTGCTCAAAGCAAGGCCAAAGTAAAGAAGCGAATAAATACTGGTACGGATGCGGGTAGTGTGTAACAGGTCTGTACCGTATTATGGTGTACGAATGTCACTAAATGCTTAAGCAAAGCTTCACTAGGTATATTCCACACATGTTTCGTACAATTGTATTTGATACAATTGAACGAAACTCATATTGACACATCGAGTATTTGTGAGTAATGTATCGGTACTGATGGAGATAAAGTTTTGAAGGATACCTTAGTGTTATCATTTTCCCTTGGGTATGTGCAAACAGCACATAATAGAGTCAAATTAATTATGAAAGGTAGTTAAACAGTACTCTAAGCTACATCAAATCTAAATATATGTAACAGGGCAAATTAGACACCTGGTTGATATTAACTTTTCATCTCATAATGCGCACCAACCCAGCCTCAGTGCATTTGTTGACGCGGAATCTCTACTTTTAACTTTCGCCGTATCGAGGGTTCATGCTTAATCTTCAAGTGAAGCTTAAAAGCTATGTCAGCGTATAACACAGACTAGTCCTATCCCTAGAATCAAATCAAAATTACATCCGTGTATGCGTGTCTAGATCATTGGCGATTCATGAACCTACCTTTGCCACGGAAAGCGCTTTAGGTGCTGGCATAAAAATTGCTACATCGTGCAGGGCATGAAATTTTCAAAAATTGATACAATGGTGTTGGTATGTGTAACGGGGTGTGTGTCACACGAGATGTGCATGGTGTGACCACACCCAAACAAGAATACGGCACGACCAGTAGTTATGCATGCATTCAGATTTTACCATATATATTTGGTGTATTTAGGAAAATCTAAACTTTTAAAATTAGGATAAGAAAATAAATAAAAATCAGTTTTGAATTTAAACCGAAGCGTTAATTAGCCTTGGGTTAAGGCTATAATTACTCTTGGAGTAAGC